ACACTTTTAAAATAACACCATACAATACGCAAAAAAGAAGAAGAAGAAAAGAAAGAACAAAGCAGGGACCTTCACGACGATATTCGCGGCGGGTCACCCATCCAGTTCCTAGCCCCGCCCGACATCCGACAGGGCTTAACTTGAGTGGCGCTACTAAAAAACCGACATTCGCGAGGGTTATTGCGAGATACGTATTTCTAGTATTATAATGACAGACTGCAAAAACCACAGGGTTCAAGTCTTTGATAGAAATGGTAAGTTTCTTCGTAAGTTTGGTGAATATGGAAGGTTTATCAATATATGACAACGGTGATATTATTGTTACTGATAAAGGTAACAAATTAATGAAGATATTCTCTTCTAGTGGAGAGTATTTACGTTGTAAATCAGATTTGGTGGATCAGGTTCTGAACACTTGCCAAAGTAAGAAAAATCAAAGAATCTTTTTTTGGCTTTGGTAAAATTCAAGATGGCGGAATGTTTGTTTGAAGAGAATCCCCCTTCGAGGGAAATAAACAGATTTCTGCGCCGGAATATGGGGCGATAAACGCTCATTGCCAAGACATGAACACGTCACATCGTCATTTATACGTCTTCACTGGCTGCCGATTAAGTTTAGAATCAATTTCAAGATTGCTATGCTCTGTTTCAAGTGCATTCATGGACACGCCCCCAATTATCTAAAAAGCAGGGTCGCCATCAAGAAGACTTCGACATACAACCTCCGCTCGAGCACCAGTATCCAGTTGGAAGACCATTTACGACGAGCGAAAAGAACGCTTGGTGATCGAGCCTTTTCCAGTGCATCCGCCAAGATTTGGAAGAGTCTCCCGCAATTATTACAGTTACAGGAAAATTATAACACCTTTGAGTCATTGCTTAAAACTCACTATTTTAGAGAAGCGTTTAATTTAAAATTTCTTTTTAGTGTTTCATATAGTATACATCTTCGCATTTTATTGTAAATTCAAAATTGTAAATAGGTGACATAGTAATTTTGGATTCAATTTTAATATGTAAAGCGCATTTGATCATATCCTCCTGGGCCCAGTTGTTCGAAGGCAGATTAGCGCTTAACCCAGCGTTAAATTTAACCCGGGTTCCTTTTTCTTTTGCTCAAAAACATTTTCTCGTATAATTTTCTCTGTTATTTTTAAGAGCATCCAATCATCAACTAGTTGACAAAAAAAATTATACTGAATTTACTTTTTAAGCTTTCATATCTGAATTCAAATTTCGCACTAACCATGGGTTATTTTAACCCAGCTTTGAACATCCCGGCCCTGTAAGCTAGTTTGCGCTATAAAAATATTAAATATTATTATTATTATTATTATTATTATTATTTATTCTGAGAAAACAACATGGCGGCCGCAGTGGAAAACACCACTTGAAAACCCCTGGAAACACCATTTTCGAGACTCTCAATTTCAAAATATCCCTAGATGCCTCGGCCCTCAAAAACTAGTGCCTTTTTGGTGCGAGTTCCAAAGCCGCCTACTATTCATTATCAGCCTGCTACTTAAAAACTTTTTGACAGCCCTGTATAAAAATATTAATGTAAATTAGGGGGCGGTTGACGGCTTGTTAAATGAATGTATCAGGCGTTATTTTTTTTCCCTCTTGAGCCAAAGAAGCAAAAAAGCAACAAAATAAAAAAATAGCGCCTGATCTCAGGTTAATGTCCACTGCCGTACTCGTTGTATCCTCTTGCCAAGCAACTTCCGAGCATATCCCGAAAATTTATCGATCTGTTACCGAAGAACGTTACTGAAACTTTTGGGGCATATGCAGAGCTAAAAACCTAGTGGAAACGTATTTCGTTGACAGTTTATATAAAGTATTCATGGAAATTTCAAGACGTCCGTTTCTTTTTCTTATTTTCCCGAAAGAATAGGGTTTTCACGGAATGCTCAGCGGTTTCACCATGGATAATGGTCTTTCTATTATCCATAGTTTCACGACATTTTATTGATTGGTGTTACTAGATCCCAAGCCTATTTGAAAAAAGCCGGAAACAGATCACAGTTTGCAAGATCAACAGCCATTATAGCCTGAGGGAAACAGCCGACATTTGGCGACGCTATCACTGGTTTCCCCGCCAAATGACTAGGCTTGGATAAACTCGGCTCATAAAATGGATTATTCTACCTGCCGGCGGTGCTCGTAAAAATCGCTTATTCTGCTCAAAATTCTGCTGGGACACCCTTATTCTGCTCGAATTCTGCTTGGTAACTGAAAAAATGTTCGGCCCCTTGGGCCATATTTATTTCCGCAAATATAGAAGGGAGCCTGAGCCTAACCCCTAAAAACTAATTCTGCTCGAAAATGCCTTGTTCTGCCGGCAGAATGCTCGCCTCAAAATTCGCTTATTCTTCCGGCAGAATTTATCCAACCCTACAAATGACGTCTGAGAAATGAGCGCACAAATTCCATACTGATGACGCGTCACTACCCAGATCTGGGTAGTGACGCGTCATCGGTATGGAATTTCTACGTTCGTTTCTCAGACGTCATTTGGCGGGGAAACCAGTGGTAGCGTCGCCAAATGTCGGCGCTTTTCTCAGGCTACAAACAGTCTTCGGGAAGATATCTTTCTTTTTACTGTTCATTAACGAAATTTTCTTGTAGCAATGACTACCGCTGATGAAGACTGGGCGGCTGAAGTTGATGAGCAAGAGCGGCAAATCTCTGGAGAAGTAAGTTACTGTCGCTGCGTTTAGAATTCCATAAGGCTTTATAGAGGAGTTCACGCTTATAGTTGCATCATGGGTAATCAGGGCAAGATGCGGGACATTAGAAGATTTGTATTAGAATTCAAAGCCCGCTATTTCTTCCTGAATTCATATATCTGAAACTTTCTCTTTGAAAAGAGTAAGTTACTAGTTCAAAGAAACACTAAATCTGGAGTGCAAAGAAGTCCGTGATCAGTTTTTAGAAGACCTCAATTTTTCCATACATTTTCTGTAATTTTGAGACTGTCGAATTTTTGCTTGTATAAAATTATAAAACCTATCAAACCGTTGAATGGTGGCTTCATTTTGATACGGAGTTTTCAGCAGACATGTCGATCTGGACCCAGTTTTTCCAAGGCCGATTAGTGCTTAACCCCGGTTTCTTTAACTTCTGTCCATAAGCACTTTCTCGGATAATTTTCTCTGTTATTTTTAGAGCTTTCAGTCATCAACTTGTAGACAAAACGAATTAAAACTGAAATGGTTTTTAAGCTTTCAAATCTGAAATAAAATCTCGCACTAACCCTGGGTTATCTTAACCCAGCTTTGAACAACTTGGCCCTGGGGAAAAAAGAAGAGTGTAGAATATATTACACCTTCATACTCACGTTCATTTCTTGGGAAATGTACTGGTTTTTAGACTTTTCTTCCCTTGTGGTAGTGGATAAAATCACTGATACGGTGAGATATTTTGGACAAGCCTCCTTGTTCAAGAACTGATAAGCACCTTTTTAACCACAGAGAGAGCCAAGAAAAACGATCATTTTTTTCAAGGGTTTTGGTATTAAAGGCCCAGTCAATTCCACGCATGCCTTTCCTCTTCCCTCTGATCATGGGCATTTCAAAATTAAACTTCTGGCTCCCCCAGGATTTTCACTTGTGTTAAATTATGTTTTAAATGTCAAATTTTTTTATCATTCACTACACCTTAGGGGCTGTCCTCACTAAGTGTTTGGGAACCAGTGCCTGAGTACCGGCACAGAATGGTGCTGTGCTCCCACTTAGAGTACCCGATATGTGACTGTGTACATAATTACTCCATTTCGCCCTGTCAGACTCCATTTTGAAACATGAGCTTAGCAGTAACAACAAAGCAGTGGACTGCCCGGAACTTACAAAAATTGTGTGCAGACAGGGACCCAGTTCCCACTTTTATGCCCAAGAACAAGTTCGAGACCTTGTACTCGGGCACCGGCACAGTGCCCGAATTCTAGCGGGGGTACTTGAAAAAAAAATGGTGCATTCACATTCGTGCCCAGCGGGGACTGTACTTGAGCACCGAGTGTAAACGCTGCCTTATATAATGTGTGATGATAGGAACAATAAGCAAGAGATGTAATGATCATTAAGAGTAGTATTGTCGGGAGATTTACCTGAGAAAAAAGCCAACAATTCAATGACATTTGTGATGCCACCACTGGTTTTCCCAGGGAATGACCTCTGAGGAACAAGAGCAGAAACTCTAGACTGATGGCATTTCACTAACGAGATTTGTGTAGTGATTCTGATTGGTTAATGCAAATTTCTCTTGCAGAACAACAAATCAGAAGCATTGCCCATATCTGGGTAGTGACACATCATCAGTCTGGAATTTCTGCACTCATTCCCCACGTGGAAAACAGTGATGGTGGCCCAAAATGTTGGCTTTTATCTCAGCCTACTACTAACACCCCTTTTGACTTTCGTATATGTATTCACTATTGCAGGTTGATAAGTTGAAATTAAGTAACACAAGTACCACTCAACCAACAGAGGAGAAACAAGCTAATACAGAAGAGGATAATGGTACAAATAAAATGCAAGCTCAGTGCTCAATGATATATATGTAATAATATTATTATTCATATTAATCATAGCTATCAACTGTCCTGATTTCAGCACTAACAGGACAGTGTGATAGGACAGTACGCGTTATGCCTAAGTAATTGGACAGTACGTGCCATCGGCCGCGCGCACTTAAATGGCTTTTTTTAACTTCTAGCAAAAGCTCTCGTAATTTCTTGTGTTTCAATTTTAAAAAAGGACCAAATCTCACAAACTTTGTTATAGTTATGATTAATTCGTTACAGAACTTTGTGTTGTCCAATGTGGTCTGTAATCATACTCATGATTAAACAAACTGGACTCCCGCTGTGCAGTCGTCCGATTTTGTTAATCACCCATTTGCGTACGATTACAGACCGAATTGGATTCCACTCAGTCCTTAGTACCATTATTTATACTTGTATCAATACTAACACCCCAAACTGGCATTGTGTTTCTTCCACAGAGCTGACTAAGGCTACAGACCTTGCAGATGCTTCTTTTTTGATGAAAGTGTTAAGAAGTAAACTTGTTAAGACCAAGAATGAGGTTGAGGTACAGAGAAATGACCCAAGTTCACTCTTACACCCTGTCAAGTCATTTGAGGAATTACCACTGTAAGTACTGACCACCATTCTATTTCTTTTCCTCCTGACATGAAAGGAGTTTAAATTTCAAAGGTTTACCAGTGACTATTATTATTACCATAAAATAATACAATCTGTGCTGTATTTTTTATTAGGTCAGAGCAACTCCGTCGTGGTCTCTATGATATGGGTTTTAACAAACCATCCAAGATTCAGGAAACAGCACTACCCATGCTCTTAGCTGATCCGTGAGTTACTACATGTTTAATCCCTTGAATTAATTTTATAATAGTGTCCACAGTCTTCACATACATGTAATCAACACTGCTGGACTAGTAAAACCATAGAACCAGAATATTTAATCTGAAATATTATTATAATACAGTGTGCCCATATTCAGTGAGATAAAACATTAACCATGAATAAATTTCTTTTCTCGGTGGGTACTTACCTTGACTCTCCTCTTCACGGTCCATTACTCATAAGGCCTCTGACTTGTCCTTGAAAAGTGTGTCTGGTATCAGCAATATTTTTTTTATGGGAATGAGACATTAACTCACTCCTCAACCCCCAACCTGGTGGGGCTAGGCATTGCAATTTTATTCATCTGGCCCCAGTTGTTCAAAAGGTAGATAACACTGTCCACTGGATAGCACAATTTTATTGGTTTGCCTAACATGTATCAACTGGATAGTGATTTATCCAGTGGATAGTGCTATCCAACTTTTAAACAATTGGGGCCTGGCCTTTCACCCAAAACCTGCCCAACACAGTTGAACCCACCAAAATGTGAGGTCCCAACCACGATACAGTGTAGTTTTCAGGGTCATTGAGGCACACGAACCTCCCCTCCATGTTATACAGGCGCAACATGTTAGAGAGGTTTCTTGATGGGTATCAAGTGGCAGCTGTATAAATGTTTGCTTTTTTGTTTGATGTTCAGACCGAATAATATGATAGCTCAATCACAGTCTGGGACAGGAAAAACTGCAGCATTTGTTTTGCCAATGCTTAGCAGAGTAGATGCAACAAAAAACTACCCTCAGGTATTATTTTGTTTTACTTCTTGTATATTTCTTTTCCCTGCACAACTTGTAAAAAAACCTCGCAGATTCGTTGAGGTACGTGAAAAAGTGTGAAACGGTAAGATAATGCACCTATCCATGTAAAGCCGGCGGAGGGGGAGGCAGGGCATGGGGTGGGGATTTGATTGTCTTTGTTGGCCCTGGGGTAGGGCATTTGACTGATCTTGTTGTCCCAGGGGAGGGGATATTTGAATCTTTCTTCGCCCGACGTGGAGATATTTGACTGCCGACTCGGACGAAAAAGACTGAACATATGTTTCCCGCTTCCACGCTTCATGCATGCGCCGTACGGTTTGAAAAGATCAGGAAGTCACGGAGGCCAATGAGAACGAGCCTGTGTACAGACGTCCCACTGTTTTAGCGTGTTTTTGATCAGTTGAATCTCTTAAAATACCGTGGTATCAAAGTAAATGGAAGTAAAGAGAAACCAAGTCGATTTTTGCAAGTACAGTTGATTAGCGTATGGCTCATTCGCTACAATCACAGTAAACTTATAAAACTGACTTTCTTTGTACCCTTTACTAAGAACGGTATATTTAAACTTACAAAATGTGGACTTTCTCGTAAAGGCTTATGTATTCTACGCAGTGTAACACGGATTATGGTTAAAACGTATAATTGCAGCTGTAACAGGAACATGTATCTTTGGTGATGCAGCAACGTTTATAACAGATTGCAGAGTTTTATTAGGAGATATTTCTATTCTGCCTTTCTTGGGTTCTGCCTTGGGATTGACAGCAACGTGCAGCCTGGGGTGGGGGAAATTTGGTTGCATTTGACTGGAATGATTTGCCCGTGGGCAGGGAATTTGATTGCAAATTTTTGAAAAAAGTCAAATCCCCACCCCATGACCTGCCTTCCCCCCGCCGGCATTACATTGATAGGTGCATAAGGTGTAAGCATCATGGCTTCATTTTCGTGTCCCGCTTGTTTCACTCAAAAGATTAAGAAAAAAAGAGACTCCTATTGGTCTACTGCCAATAATTGGTGTCATTTGAATAGTGATTAGTCACACTGCAGGATTTCGTCTCAAGACTCAAAAGTAGAAACCTCTTACAAATTCCATCTTCCTCTCTAGTAGTGAAAGGGTTACATCAAGAACAAACATGAATTGTTAGATGATGAATTTGTTCACATAAAACTGAATTGTTGCAATGAACTGATTTGTTGTGCTTTTATCAAGGTTATCTGTGTTTCACCTTTATATGAGCTTGCACTACAAACAGGACAAGTGGCAGAAAGGATGAGCAAATTCTGCCCTGAAGTCAAGATTGGTTATGCAGTGAGGGGGGAGAGAGGTGAGAAACTTGAGCCAGGAAAAATAATTATGCGCAAGACTTAGGCCTGAGGGGGGAATACCATCCTGTCTCGCTCAGGGGTGTAAATTTTGGATTTTTTGTCTTACTTAGAAAGACAAAAAGTAAAATGCCAATAGTTTTAGCGTCTTAGGTCTTGTTTGGGGCTGTGGTCAAAAAAATCTTGAGCCTTTCCTCAATTGGTCTCCTTAAGGGGTTTAATTCAATGTTTGGTATAAGCATCATTCTCCGTTTTATTTTTAATTTAAGAGTTCACTTGTCCACTTGTCCCCATTAAGCAGCTTGCAAATTTTAGTTTAGCTAGAAAAGAGTTAAAAAAAAGTTGGGCTTAAGGCACTTTATAAACTAAGAAAAGAGATGGGTGACAACTTTAGAGAAAATATTATGCTGACGATTAAGCTATTCGATGCTCTGATATCCCCCTTCTCTACGGAAGTGAAATTTGGGGTGTTGACTGTAACGACCAAATAGAAAAAGATCCCGCAGAACTAGTTCAAATTAAATTCTTGAAATGGTTGCTAGGTGTAAATAAATACTGCTGCAACAATGCATGTAGGGCTGAAACAGGAAGATTCCCAATGAAAATCGATGCACAATATAGGAATTTTAAGTTTTGGCTAACTCTAACCAAACACCCAAAACACAAATTATCACAGGTGGTTTATAATGATATGAAGTCGAGAATGAATAACGAATTATGGAGCCAAAAACTCAAACGCGTATTAGACCAAATAGGGCTGGGATACCTCTGCACAAAAGCACATGAAAATGACATAGGAGTCTTGAACATTATCAAACAAAGACTGAAAGACATCGAAATACAAAGATGGTTAAGTGTCGTACACAATGTCGTAAGAAAAGACGCCAACCAAAAGAACAAACTAAGAACCTTACGAAATTTTAAAACAATAGAAAATTATAAATGTGAAGTTTATCTCCGTCAGGTCACCAACGTCCAACATCGGATAACTCTAACTAAAACTCTGTCTAAGTAATCACAAATTGGCGATAGAGACAGGTCGTTATGTAAGACCTTATAAGAAACCGGAAGAGAGGATCTGTCCTATCTGTAAAAAAAACGTAGAAGATGAAATACTCTTTTTAACTCTGTGCCCTGCGTATCAAGAAAAAAGAAGTACTTTATTTCAATACTTAAACAAAGAATACAGAATATCAGTAAACAGAATGGCACCAGATGATGTTTTTCTGTTGTTAATAAACCCTTCGAGCAAGAACAAACCAGTGCAAAAGTTAATTGCAAAATACGTATTCGACTGCTATGAGAAAAGAAGATCATTAGTTGTTTAGGTTAACATTGATTATAGTTCCACTAGTGTGCAATTTGTGTTATAATTTTAAATTATTTGGATAAAGTCGATATACATAAGACTGTATAAGACTCCAAATAAAACATTGTCTTGTCTTGCCTTGTCTTGCAAAGAAAGTATGGTTAGTGAATGCTAGTCTTAACTTGCCGTGCAGTTTTATGGGGAGTTGATAAAAAAATTATTAGAGAGAAACTGTAATCAATCCTTCTAAACAAAAATTTTTTCCTTGGTAGTTGAAATGACTTTGGGGCTAGCTACAGCTTACGTAAATGGCGGGCTGTAAAGCCGACTTTCTTTGCAGCCTGGTTAAAGCCTATAAATACGGTTTAGCATTGTTTTTATTTTGTCGCTGAAGAAAATGATTATTGTATATTCCATAAACAGCCTTTAATGTTCTTAATTCCCTTCCATTCTCTTTTCTACAGTGTCAAGAGGTCAGAAAGTCACAGACCACATAATTTTTGCTGTGCCCGGAACTCTACTAGACTGGATTCTGCGCAACCGAGCGCTGGACCCCAAAAAAATCAAGATGCTTGTGTTAGATGAGGCTGATGTCATGATAGCACAACAGGGATACCAGGATCAGGTCATTAGAATACACAAGTACGGCTACTTCCCTTTTGTCATACTTATGGATGAAACTAGGAAAAAATCTCTGACACGTCCTTTCATTGAGATTATCAATAATCATAGTTACTGGGAGATTTTCTGTTGGCCAACACATGATCGCCTTGGGCATATGCATTTGTCTTATTTCCACAGAGGTTTGCCCTCTGGTTTGCTTTGAATGGCTTTACCGCTCTTTTCTCTTTTGTTTGCTTCCTTCCACCCACCCACCTCTTTGTTCCTTGGAGGGAACTCCATTCATTTAAGTTGTCTTTTTTGATCTTTAATATTCTCCACTGAGAGACGAGTGTGACAGGTTCCAAGGGCAGGTGACCCATGGTAGGTTGTCATTGTTACCCCGCTTTAGTTGCAATGCGAATACTGAACTTAAGAAATAATGTATTTCCTCTGTTCAAGGACCCTACCTAAAGATTGCCAAATGCTTCTGTTCTCTGCAACCTACGACGACGAGGTGATGAAATTTGCCAAGACAGTAGTACCAGACCCTATTATCATTCGGCTACGTCGGGAAGAGGAGAGCCTGGACAATATCAAGCAGTACTACGTGGTGTGTCGTGACAAAGAGGATAAGTTCCAGGCCCTCTCCAACATGTATGGCGTTGTGTCTATTGGACAGTGTATCGTTTTCTGTCACGTAAGTGTTAAAATAACTTCCTTCCCTCCCCCTCCTTTTTCCTTTCCCCTGATTCCCATCCGAATCCTTCCTCGCCCCAGGAAACGACTGCAAAGCAGCTTAAATTTAGTTGTTGTTTGGGAAATGTTTTGTAACCCCAGGATGCTTTTACATTTGTTTATGCCTGTGTCATGTCAGACTCGGAAGGCCGCCTCTTGGTTAGCAGAGAAGATGACAGCGGATGGTCATTCAGTAGCGCTGTTATCAGGCGAAATCACAGTGGAACAACGGCTAGCAGTATTAAACAGATTCCGCGACGGCAAGGAGAAACTGTTGATAACAACTAATGTCAGCGCCAGAGGCATTGATGTGGAACAGGTAAGTACGTATTGGCCGCCATTACAATCCATGACCCACCCCCTAGTATTAAAACATGGATTTTGGGTTTGTGCATGACAAAATCATAATTACCAGAATTTTAAACAGCAATGAAAAATGTAAAAAACATAAATCGTATTAAAATTGCATACAAGAAAGTAAGTAGGAGCCAAGTTAGAGCCCGGGTAGGTTTTGTAGGTTACTCCATGAAAATTCGGGTAGGGATGTATGGTATATAATATGCTCCTTAACTTACCTTATTTTAGACCATAGTGATTGGGCCAGTTTTCAAATTTTGATTCTGTGCCTGCCAAAACTACCAAAAGGTTATTAATTTCAGTGCTCCCAGATGAAATTTGTTTGATATTCTTTTCGTAACTCCATAGGAGCATTTTTTGTATGGGTTAACCCTTTAGGTCCCAATGGTGACCAACATCAATTTTCTCCTAACAATATCCATGCATTGTCAAGAGATTAGGTTATGAGAACTAATAAAATGATCACCAAAGAGAAAATACCCCTATCTTTTCTCAAATTCTCTCAACACATTCTTTAAGGAAACGTATAGAGATCAGTTTGGAGAATTTGTACGTGGATATTAGGTCCTAAAGGGTTAAAGCACTAAGTAATGACTCAAGCACAGAATTGATCAAAAAGAGCAATTCCCTTGGTGACGCCAGTGAGGCCTTAGGGCCTGTTTACATGTAAATGTGATCAAATTAAAATGAGAGATTATATGGACAGAGGGGTTACTCCACCTACCTGGGGTCCCCCACCTCCATGTAAACAGACCCTTAGTAATACAATGTTGTTTTATTTTTTGTCTTGTTGCTATAGGTTACTGTCGTAATAAATTACGATATGCCAGTTGAGCCCACGGGTAAACCGGATTACGAAACATACATGCACAGGATCGGCAGGACAGGCCGGTTTGGCAAGAGCGGCATTGCCGTCAACTTCATTGATGGTCAGCGGTCTATGACGATCATGAAGAAAATCGAAGAACATTTTGGCAAGAAAATAACGCTCTTGCAGACTGATGACGTAGATGAACTTGAGAAACTGGGCAACTAACTTGAGGCACCAAAGTTATGGAAAGTGTATTTACATTCGGCGGAGCTAAACGTAGTGGCAGTGACAGAGAATGTAAATACTTTCCTATTGGTATGAACGCACGTGAGCCGCTATGGCGTTAATTGATTCTATTGTTATTAGGTATGTAAGGTTTTGACAGTTGTAATGTATTCATCTCAGCTCTCGAACTATCAACTTTTATTTTCAGCCGCTTCATAGTTCGAGCTGCACACCCATTCTCGTCTCTTAGTCGTTAATATAAATAGGAATACAGGTGGATACGATATCGCTTTTGCAGACTGATGACGTCCATCTTGAGAAACTGGGCAACTAACCTGAAGCACCAAAGTTATGGATTCCGAAATAGATAAGATTTGTTTAACAAGGAGTGTTACACAAGGGAATCTCTCTTTAAACTTGTAATTTGCAACCTCACGTTAAAGTCTCTAAGGATTTCATTCTGGGGTAGAAGATCTAATTTCTTTAGACCATAAGCGGTTCTTCGGTGATGCATCAAAATTCTTCGCGATATGTAGTGTTGAATACTTGCCAGTCACGGTCTCAATGAACTAATCCACGGCAGTCTTGAATATTTTATTGGCAAAGTGTTTACCTTATGCGGCAAAGATACTAAAACCAGTCAGGGGACTGCTTGCCATGATGACGAAAGTGGTCACATTTGGGAATTTCTCTCAGATTCAAAAGTTAAGAGCACCTTGTATGGTATAATAACATTTAACTGCTGAAGAGGTTTCTTTGAATGGAGACTATAGGATTTCACCTATAGAGATTTTATGCAGACTCAAACGTTATAACCACCCTGTACAACACGGAAATTATTTTACCGGGTCGAGCACTTCAAGATTAAATGGAGAGCTTAATTTGAGATTAGATTTCCCTGTCAAATGGTAAGTACATGAATAAAATAAATCGCCTTTTACAGTCTTATAAAGGATTATGGCGTCTTTTCGGACTGAAAAAAGTGCGATAGCAAGTGCCAAAACTACGAAACGTCCACCAATCGTTCCTTGTGTAACACCACCTTTAACATCGTCATCGTCAAAACATTGTGTTCTAGCTGGTGCAAACATTTTGTGGACATCTCTGATGAAACATTCCAGAGATGATTGACTATCATTTGAGACGTTTTATTGCTTCATTCTTTGTTAAGTTGTTGATATTAAAGATTTGTTTATAAAATGATACCCTGTTTGTTGTTTCAATTAACTGCAGTGTAGCGTTGACACAACATATACACACCGATGAAAGAAACAAAATCATCTCAAACTGTTACAACACATTTGCATCAGCATATCTGCACTCCGCTGTAACAAATTTGAAAGCGTTTGTCTGGACAGGGCTTTTTTTTAAAACAAATAGCAAAAGTGTCTTAACAGAATAAGAACCACTTTGCTCCCAAAATTCCGGAAATTAGCCTGCTATGTTGTGTGGTTCGAAGGGTGGCTGGTCCTCAAAAGACTCTAACTTCAATGTTTGATCTTCTCTTGCGCCACTTATCACGAGTTAACAGCTCGGAATCTGTAAAACATCTCCAGGTAGCGATCAGCGTGAAACTAGAACTCGGGACCTACTAAATCGGCGAGCAATTTACAGAGGCAGAAACGGGATAGACAAAAACAAACTGAACCGCCCCAGATGCAACTTCGACGACCTTGTACACATGCATAGAGGAACCGAGAATCTTGGTTGGTTTTACTTTCACACTTTTCGTTAGAAAGTGCAAAAACTTGATTGTAAATGTCTTTCGGACGAATCGTGTCTAATTTTAAGGCCGATGTCCTGTTATTCTCGACCACTCGGCCCTTTAAGCTACAGTAAAACGTGCAGCAAAAAACATGCAACTTGTTTTGCAACATTGCTGCAAAGCGAGTTGAATACTAATAGTAATAATGCGCATTATACTACCCACGTTCGAATCTGTATTGCAAAAATAAGGTCGCAAGGTTTTTGTGGATGGTAAACGCGCAACATCGCTATTCAACTCGTTTCGCAGCAATGTTGCAAAACAAGTTGCAGGGTTTTTGTTGCCCGTTTTACCACACCTTTAACTTCCTGTGTACCTCTGAGTATCCAACGACATTTCGGACAGAACGACTAAAACTACTTTATTTCCACTCTTTGAGTTGTCAATAAACGTACATTTCTTGACTCTTTTTACATTTTAAACTCTCTAATTGCTTTCCTATGAAATATAAGTTAAATTCCGTGAAACGACATGAATACTATGGCAAAAAGTACTTATATCCAATTTTCATTTAATTTGTGATAAAACAAATTTTAAAACCTTTTGCTCAACTTAACCCTTTAAGCCCCAATATCCACATACAAATTCTCCAAACTGATCTCTATACATTTCCTTTAAGAATTAGTTAAGAGAATTTGATAAAAGATCAAAGTATTTTCCCTTAAGTGATCATTTTAATAATTCTCATAAGCTAATCTCGTGAAAATGTATGGATATCGTTAGGAGAAATTTGTTGTTGGTCACTATCCGGGCTTAAAGGGTTAACTAAATTCTGTCGACAGCTTTTTTTGCATGTGTACGATGTCTCTCAACGTGATTTTTTTCCACGGGTATTCGCTAAGCTTTTGTAGCCGAGCAAACGTTCGAAAACGCAGCGTTTGCATGAATACACCTCGTAAATAGCTGACTTAAACTAAAGATAAACTAGTTCTTTTCTTGTTATTAAAAACAGCTGCTAGGAATAGCTTGTTAAGCCATATGTCTTATCCTTCTCTCTTTTCTTGCCGCTATATACAGACATATACAAAATCATATCTTAACATCTGAAGAAAAACACTGAAAGTCTAATCTCCTTCGTAGCCGTTTTTAGGGTCGTCACTCAACGCTCCTGAGGAGCGTTGCGTGACGACCCCAAAAACGACCGCGAAGGAGACCACTGAAACTCTTGAACGTAGCTTAATCCTGTTATAGTTCTGAGTAGGAAGATGTTTCCCAACCGCAACTGCAATAAGTATTTATTCAAAATTAAGGAAGATTCATTTTTTTCTTTGTAAGTGATTGTTCTGGATTTGTCACACACTAATTACCCCGATTCAAATGGTTTGCTGATTACCTGAAAGATTGAAAAACGTTTGCGGAGACAATTCTGGCATTCCTTCTTTTTCTTACGAGTGTCCCAGTAATCCAGTGCCTATTAAGTGAAAATTAAACTCGTTAATCATACTTATTAGCTAACAACCATTATGGAGCTTGAGCAGCAACGTTTATGAGCGACACACGTTAACCGGAAGTGAGGGTTTTTCTCTTTCAATATGCCTTGATGCTACCAAATGTGTATTGATATGTGTCTTTCCTCTTTGTTACGAAAAATTGTATTGCGTGACTAGCGTGACTTTCTAGAAGCTTCGCGAGAGTTCATAAATTGTTTTATTTTAGGACCTTGTGTAAGCGTTTCTAAAGTGGTATGTTTTGTAATCTTTCTATGATTAGACTATTTGGAAAGTTTTAGAATGTTATTGTGAAAGTATGTAAGTAGGCGAGTCCGAGTTAAATTTTAACCAGTTTTCACAAGCGAAGAGAGTTTGGCGTTAGTCGTGTTTAGTCAAGTGTGACGGAAGCAGTGTCTATTCAAGTTGGCGGAGGCCGTGTAAGTTCATCAAGTTAATTGAAGTTGGGGGAGGCCGTGTAAGTTTATCGAAATACGTGCTGTTGTGGAGTTTTGTACTTCGTGGAAACTACGTTTGTTGTTGGAATAAATCTTCTTGTTGGTGTTCCGACGACCCTGTCAGTTCAGTTTAGTTTGCAAGCTACCCGTCCTCTAAACCATTACCTGCGTAACACTGTTATAGAGACGATTCGCCCAAAAATTTGTTCAAAATTACGGCTCAAGTGTGCAAAAAGTCCACTTCCGGTTGACGTGGGTCGCTAAAAAACGTTGCTGCTTAAGCTCCCTACTGTTTTGCTTTATGTAAGGTAATCCAACACAGTCGTGGATGCTGGAATTCCCGCTGTGGATTCTGGATTCCAGGTATTGGATTCCGGATTCCATGTCAGTGAGCTTTAGATTCCACATACCAATCTTAAGCGGGATTCCAGATTCCTTGAACTGAATTACGGACTCCAAAGGCCGGGATTCCGGAATTCCACAGGTAGGTCATTTGACATCACCGCCGTTAGTCGATTTTTGTGGGAAAAAGGTGGGCGGAAGAGCCACCTACGCTTTATTTTTTTCTCCTCCTCTCGTCTTGCGCTTCGCCTCGCCTCGCATCCTCGCTTATATAGGCTACACTCTAGAAACTATAAGGGAATACGGTACAAGCTTTCGATGCAACGATTTTTGGTATCGTTTGGGTGGACGAGCGTTACTTATGATTGGTTAATGGTTGCCTTGAATACCATCGACCAATCATAACTAACGCTTGTTCACCCAAAGGATCCCAGAAATCATTGCGCCGAAAGCTTGTACCTATTCCCCTTATAGTTTCTGGAGAGTGGAATTGTCTAGTCAGCCTTGCATCCCATTTCCCCCCATTTTTAGATAACTACGTCAAACTAACCACTGTGTTTCAGTGCTGACCCTAAAGACTGTTTCTAACTATATCAAAGCTCTTCGTTCTCATTTGTCAGCCTACCAAATGGATTTCTATAACCACTAAAGCATAATACATTGTGTAAATGTCACAAGCTGACCAAAGGGGATTTCCAGTGATTAACTATTTTAATGGCGATCGTTAAAGTACAGATAATCCCTTACCTTTAAAGCCTTCCTCAGGTGCACTGCTCACTGTCAACGAAAAGCGAAAAAAAATCTATTAATGCCGTCTTTTGAGCGTTCCTCTACAAACAATGCTTTCACAAAAAGCTGTAACCCGAAAATTTGCTTTTCCCACGCAAGAAAATGCAACTGTGACAAGAACGTTCTTGCTTCACGGACTAGTGTTGAGAATCATCTATCGCTTCTACTGGTTATTATAAGGTTGGCAGAGAATTGACCACTACAGAAAATACCATAACATACCATAATGCTCTTTGTTTGTCACCCCAAAATTTTGCATAAGCATTGTTTTCAGCTTCTCTTGGGAGTTGAAATGGCCCAAAGAGAAACTGAAAACAATGCTTATGCAAAATTTTGGGGTGACAAACAAAGAGCATTATGCTATGTTATGGTATTTTCTGCAGTGGTCAATTGCATCGCCCAGACAGTCCAATGGCGCAGTTCAAAACAGCAACGATTCCGGGTCAACTACAACCTCAAAAAAGGCCAATCCTTACTGATGCCCAAACGGCCTTCGAATGACAGAAGCAGGACGTTGATACATTCCGTAAGGTAAATAGCACATGACAAAAGACCATTTCTGACTCAATCCTAGCCCATCATCGGAGACCCACGGGCAGCTACAGTAGTCAAGACGATAGCAGAAAGTTTTCTTTCACCCTAACCCTAGCTCTTCTCAATCTTACAGTAAACTTTCACCGCGTCCATTCTATCGTCTCGACTAGCTGCCCCTGGGTCTCCGAGGATGACCCTAGCCTTACCCAAGCCTGATTGAAAACAAGGCTAAGTGGGAAGCTTTTGTTACTAAATGATTTTGGAGCTCGAACGTAGCCATTGGCCATTATTGTTTTCCTACCTGGGAGGGCATCCTGTGAAATGGTGCCCTGTGGTTCATCGATCTAAAAAGGTAGGATTTAAAAGGTTAAAACTAAAAATGTCTCTGTTATGTATAACAAAGGCCACTGCAAGCAAAAATTTATTGGTACGGGACAGGGTTTCCGTAGTACCAGAGCACACATCAAACGCCATTGAAAAGGACGCGTATTACAAAAAGGTTCCCCAAAAAACGCAATGGCAGTGACGACGGCACGCGCAAATCTAAAAACGAGCTTGACCAGTGGTAGAGGGAAACTGAGCACCGGAAGTCCTACGCACAAGGGGAACAGAAGAACACAGGGGAAGAGAAGACAAGTGGAACAGAAGAACACAGGGGAATTGAGGGAACAAGAAGAACAACGGGAAGGAAAAACGGGTGAAGAACGAAAAAAAAGGAACAGGGAAAGAAAGGGAACAGAGGAAACCGGGTGAAAAAAGGAAAAGAGGTAACAAGGGAAAACGTGGAACATGGCTAACAAGGGGGAACGCAGGAACAAGGATCACAAGGGGGAAAGGAAAAAAAAAGGAGACACAAAAACATAGGGGAACCAAAACAACAAGGCAAAAACAGGAGTGACAGAAAAAACCAGGGGAACCCAAGTGGAAACAAGGGTAACAGGGGTAAAAAGGGGAAAGAAGAGGTAACAGGAGTAACAACAGGTAACAGGGAGAAACAAGGGAGAACAAGCGGTAACAGGGATAACAAGGAGGAACAGCAAGGGGCAACAAGGCAACCCAACGAGTAAAAGGGGTAACAGGAGTAAAAAAAGGAAACACGGGAAATAAGGGGTTAGCGAAGTAACAAGAAGTAACAAAGGTAACGAAGGGTAAAAAAGGTAACAACGGGTAACAGAGGTTAACAAGGGGTAACAAGGGGTAAAAAGGGGTAACAAGGGTAACAAGGGGTAACAAGGGTAAGAAGGGTAACAAGGGGTAACAAGGGTAACAAGGGGTAACAAAGGGTAACAAGGATAACAAGGGGTAACAAAGGGTAACAAGGGGCAACAAGGGTAACAAAGAGTAACAAGGGGTAAGAAGGGTAACAAGGTGTAAAAAGGGTAACAAGGGTAACAAGGGGTAACGAGGGGAAGAAGGCGTAACAAAGGTAACAAGGGGTAACAGAGGTTAACAAGGGGTAACAAGGGTAACAAGGGGTAACAAGGGTAACAAGGGTAAGAAGGGGTAACAAGGGTAACAAGGGGTAACAAGGGGTAACAAGGAGTAACAAAGGGTAACAAGGGGTAACAAGGGGTAACAAAGGGTAACAAGGGGTAACAAGGGTAACAAAGGGTAACAAGGGGTAACAAGGGGTAACGAGGGTAACAAGGGGTAACAAGGGTAACAAGGGGTAAGAAGGGTAACAAGGGTAACAGGGGGTATCAAGGGTAACAAGGGGTAACAAGGGTAACAAAGGGTAACAAAGGGTAACAAGGGGTAACAAGGGGTAACAAGGGTAACAAGGGGTAACAAAGGGTAACAAGGGGTAACAAGGGGTAACGAGGGTAACAAGGGATAACAAGGGTAACAAGGGGTAACAAGGGTAACAAACAGTAACAAAAGGGAACAAGGGTAACAAGGGGTAACAAGAGGTAACAAGGGTAACAAGGGGTAACAAGGGGTAACGAGGGTAACAAGGGTAAAAAGGGGTAACAAGGGTAACAAGGGGTAACAAGGGGTAACAAGGCTAACAAGGGGTAACAAAAGGAAATAAGCGGTAACAAGGGGTAACAAGGGTAACAAGGGGTAACAAGGGTAACAAAGAGCAACAAAAGGGAACAAGGGTAACCAGGGGTAACAAGGGTAACAAGGGGTAACAAGGGGTAACAAGGGGTAACGAGGGTAACAAGGGGTAAAAAGGGGTAACAAAGGGTAACAAGGGGTAACAAGGGTAACAAAGGTAACAAGGGGTAACAAGGGTAACAAGAGGTAACAAGGGGTAACAAAGGTAACAGAGGGTAACAAGGGTAACAAGGGGTAATAAAAGGTAAAAAGGGTAACAAGCGGTAACAAGGGTAACAAAGGGTAACAAGGGGTAACAAGGGTAACAAAGACTAACAAGGCGTAACAAGGGTAACAAGGGGTAACAAGGGGTAAAAAGGGTACCAAGGGTAATAAGGGGTAACGACGGGAACAAGGGGTAACAAGGGGTAACAAGGGGTAACAGAGGGTAACAAGGGGTAACAAGGGTAACAAGGGGTGACGAGGGTAACAAGGGTAACAAGGTGTAACAAGGGGTAAGAAGGGTAACAACGGTGACAAGGGGTAACAAGGGTAACAAGGGGTAACAAGGGGTAACAAAGGGTAACAAGGGTAACAAGCGGTAACAAGGGTAACAAAGGGTAACAAGGGGTAACAAAGGGTAACAAGGGTAACAAAAGGTAAAAAGGGTAACAAAGAGTAACAAGGGTAACAAAGAGTAACAAGGGGTAACAAGGAGTAAAAAGGGTAACAAGGGTAACAAGGGGTAACGAGGGGAACAAGGGGTAACAAGGGGCAAAAGAGGTTAACAAGGGATAACAAGGGTAAGAAGGGGTAACAAGGGTAAGAAGGCTAACAAGGCGTAACAAGGGTAAAAAGGGGTAACAAGGGGTAACGAGGGTAACAAGGGGTAACAAGGGGTAACAAGGGTAACAAGGGGTAACAAAGGGTAACAAGGGGTAACAAGGGGTAACAAGGGTAACAAGGGTAACAAGGGGTAACAAAGGGTAACAAGGGGTAACAAGGGTAACAAAGAGTAACAAGGCGTAACAAGGGTAACAAGGGGTAACAAGGGGAAAAGAGGGTAACAAGGGTAATAAGGGGTAACGAGGGGAACAAGGGGTAACAAGGGGTAACAAGGGGTAACAGAGGCTAACAAGGGGTAACAAGGGTAATAAGCGGTGACGAGGGTAACAAGGGTAACAAGGTGTAACAAGGGGTAACAAGGGTAACAAGGGGTAACAAGGGGTAACAAGGGGTAACAAAGGGTAACAAGGGTAACAAGCGGTAACAAGGGTAACAAAGGGTAACAAGGGGTAACAAGGGTAACAAGGGTAACAAGAGGTAACAAGGGTAACAAAGAGTAAAAAGGGGTAACAAGGGGTAACAAGGGTAACACGGGTAACAAGGGGTAACGAGGGGAACAAGGGGTAACAAGGGGTAACAGAGGTTAACAAGGGATAACAAGGGTAACAAGGGGTAACAAGGGTAAGACGGGTAAAAAGGGGTAACAAGGGTAACAAGGGGTAACAAAGGGTAACAAGGGGTAACAAGGGTAACAAGGGGTAACAAGGGTAACAAGGGGTAACGAGGGTAACAAGGGGTAACAAGGGTAACAAGGGGTAACAGGGGGAACAAAGGGTAACAAGGGTAACAAAGGGTAACAAGGGGTAACAAGGGGTAACAAGGGTAACAAGGGGTAACAAGGGTAACAAGGGATAACAAGGGGTAAAAAGGGTAACATGGGTAACAAGGGGTAACGAGGGGAACAAGGGGTAACAAGGGGTAAATGGGGTTTCAGAGGTTTACAAGGGATAACAAGGGTAACACGGGGTAACAAGGGTAAGAAGGGTAACAAGGGGTAACAAGGGTAACAAGGGGTAACAAGGGGTAACAAGGGTAACAAGGGGTAACAAGGGGTAACAAGGGTAACAAGGGGTAACAAGGGGAAAAAAGGGTAACAAGGGGTAACAAGGGTAACAAGGGGTAAAAAGGGTAACAAAGGGTAACAAGGGGTAATAAGGGTAACAAGGGGTAGGAAAGGGTAACAAGAGGTAACAAGGGTAACAAGGGGTAACAAAGGGTAACAAGGGGTAACAAGGGTAACAAGGGGTAACAAGGGTAACAAGGGGTAACAAGGGTAACAAGGGTAACAAAGAGTAACAAAAGGAAACAAGGGTAACAAAGGGTAACAAGGGTAACAAGGGGTAACAAGGATAACAAGGAGTAACAAAGGTAACAAGGGTAACAAGGGGTAACAAGGGGTAACGAGGGTAACAAGGGGTAACAAGGGTAACAAGGGGTAACAACGGGTAACAAGGGGTAACAAGGGGTAACAAGGGTAACAAGGGGTAACAAGGGGTAAAAAGGAGTAACAAGGGTAACAAGGGGTAACAAGAATAACAAGGGTAACAAGGGGTAACAAGGGTAACAAGGGGTAACAAGGGGTAACGAGGGTAATAAGGGGTAACAAGGGTAACAAGGGGTAACAAGGGTAACCAGCGGTAACAAGGGTAACAAAGGGTAACAAGGGTAACAAGCGGTAACAAAGGGTAACAACGGTAACAAGGGGTAACAAGGGTAACAAAGAGTAACAAGGGGTAACAAGTGTAATAAGGGGTAACGAGGGAAACAAGGGGTAACAAGGGGTAACAGAGGGTAACAAGGGGTAACAAGGGTAACAAGGGGTAACAAGGGGTAACAAGGGTAACAAAGGGTAACAAGGGGTAACAAGGGTAACAAGGGGTAACAAAGGGTAACAAGGGGTAACAAGGGTAACAAGGGGTAACAAGGGTAACAAGGGGTAACAAAGAGTAACAAGGGGTAACGAGGGTAACAAGGGGTAACAAGGGTAACAAGGAATAACAAGGGTAACAAGGGGTAACAAGGGTAACAAGGGTAACAAGGGTAACAAGGGTAACAAGGGGTAACAAGGGGTAACAAGGGGTAACAAGGGTAACAAGGGGTAACAAGGGTAAATAAGGTAACAAGGTAACAAGGGTAACAAGGGGTAACAAGGGTAAAAAGGGTAACAAGGGTAACAAGGGGTAAGGGTAAAAGGGGCAACAAGGGGTAACAAGGGTAACGAGGGTAACAAGGTAACAATGGTAAATAAGGGTAATAAGGTAAATAAGGGTAATAAGGTAACAAGGGGTAACAAGGGTAACAAGGGTAACAAGGGGTAACAAGGGGAACAAAGGGTAACAAGGGTAAACAAGGGTAACAAAGGGTAACAAGGGTAACAAGGGGTAACAAAGGGTAACAAGGGGTAACAAGGGTAACAAAGGGTAACGAAAGGGTAACAAGGGTAAAAAAGGGTAACAAGGGGTAACAAGGGTAACAAAGGGTAACAAGGGTAACAAGGGTAACAAGGGTAACAAGGGTAACAAGGGTAACAAAGGGTAACAAGGGTAACAAAGGGTAACAAGGGGTAACAAGGGTAACAAGGGTAACAAAGGGTAACAAGGGGTAACAAGGGTAACAAAGGGTAACAAGGGGTAACAAGGGTAACAAAGGGTAACAAGGGGTAACAAGGGTAACAAAGGGTAACAAAGGGTAACAAAGGGGTAACAAAGGGTAACAAGGGGTAAAAAAAAAGGGTAACAAGGGGTAACAAGGGGTAACAAGGGTAACAAAAGGGTAACAAAGGGTAACAAAGGGTAACAAAGGGTAACAAAAGGGGTAACAAAGGGTAATAAGGGTAACAAGGGTAACAAGGGTAGGGTAACAAGGGGTAACAAAGGGTAACAACAAGGGTAACAAGGGTAACAAGGGTAACAAAGGGGTAACAAGGGTAACAAAGGGTAACAAGGGGTAACAAGGGTAACAAAAGGGTAACAAAGGGTAACAAGGGTAACAAAAGGGTAACAAGGGTAACAAGGGTAAAAAGGGTAACAAAAGGGTAACAAAGGGTAACAAGGGTAACAAGGGTAACAAAAGGGTAACAAGGGTAACAAGGGGTAACAAAAGGGTAACAAAAGGGTAACAAGGGTAACAAGGGTAACAAAGGGTAACAAAGGGTAACAAAAAGGGTAACAAGGGTAACAAGGGGTAACAAGGGGTAACAAAAGGGTAACAAAGGGTAACAAGGGTAAGGGTAAAAGGGTAACAAGGGGTAACAAGGGTAACAAGGGGTAACAAGGGTAAAAAAAGGGTAACAAGGGGAACAAACAAGGGGTAACAAGGGTAACAAGGGGTAACAAGGGAACAAAGGGTAACAAGGGGTAACAAGGGTAACAAGGTTAACAAGGGTAACAAAGGGTAACAAGGGGTAACAAAGGGTAACAAGGGGTAACAAGGGTAACAAGGGGAACAAAGCGTAACAAGGGGTAACAAGGGGTAGCAAGGGTAAGAAGGGGTAACAAAGGGTAACAAGGGGTAACCAGGGTAACAAGGGGTAACAAAGAGTAACAAGGGGTAACAAGGGTAACAAGGGGTAACAAGGTTAACAAGGGGTAACAAAGGGTAAAACAGTGCTTCCCAGATGAAAACAACAGGAAGTCGAACATGTACGTGTTGAAATTTTCCAAAGCATAACATACTCGGTTATAAATAACAAGAGTCCACAGTCGTGTTGCTCTGTCAACATATTTCAACCGCCAGAGGAAAAACAACAGAAAAAATATGCAAATATACATCGGAACACGATTAACGACGGCGATTCACAAACGTCTCTCTTCCCGATTTTTTTCTGAGGGGAAGGGGTGTCTGTACAGAGGCTACTTTGTTCCCTTCTTCCCCTGTTTTCCTGTTCCCCGATTGCCTTTTTCACCTGTTCCCTTGTTCCCCTGTTTCCTTGCTCCCTTGCTCACGTGTTCCCTTTATCTGCTCGGGTAGCGATACAGAACATAGGATTGGCTTCATTTTGCCCGCTCGGAGATTTACTACAGCCATATACTATCCTCACAAACCTTGAGTAGCAAGAGAGATCCTGGTCTGATTCCTAACGAGATGAGCGTGGCTTCATCATCAGTAAGTTTAATGCCATTTAACGTGAGATGCTGATCCATAGGCATCGCTGAAAAACTCTTCATCAGCTAAAAAGAAAAATATTCACGAGTTTGTGCCCGAAATAATACAAAGAATAAATATTTTTTAAAACTTGATTTCCTGGAGCGACATATCAGCGAATCTTTATTAACATTTGGTGCAGTCATTTACATATCCTTATCATTCTTATTTAATTTGAGCTAAAAATACTCAACGGAATCCTATGAGAGAGTGAATATGTAAAAAAATTTAAATCATTCTTATTTCTCACGCGCGTGCCCTCGTGCCCAGGGTCCTCTCTTACTCGCTCCGGAGGCCCAGTTGGAGGGGACCCTGAGAACGAGGTGACGCGCGTGCCTAACTTTCAAGATGACACCGAAAATCTTCACAAGGGTTATTAAAAATTACCTGCAGTTTAACATCTCTCAATGTTTCCGTTGACCCGACGGTAAGAGAAATTTCTCCTCGTTGTTTTCGATGCCTGTCGTAAACATGAAAAGGCGTTAGCTTTTAAAAGAATAGAAAAAAAAAGAAAAAAAAAGGGAGAGCGAAAGAAGTTACCTTGAGCTTCTACGCGTTCGAGAATCGCGGTTTAACTTAGGTTTCTTGCTGTCCGGTGGCGTCTGATTAGAAAAGTTGAATCAATGAACAAATTAATTTGCAAACAAGTCCCTTTTTTTGCTGAGATAGAATCGTAATTGTCTGGACGGTGAAGATTACACAACGCGTTTTTTTCTTAAAATCCTCGAATGAACGCCGCATTCCTCTATTCAGGTTGGGCCCGGCGTTTATTCGAGTCAATTCGGTAACTAAAAATCGGCCAATTTTAACATAGCTAGCGCAAAATCATGCTCCAAACCTTTGGGTCATACCAAAAGCAATAAGGTGGGCCGCCCCTCCTAAATGTTTGTAAGAAAAAAAGAATTAAAAATGTACGCGATTTCTTTTTCTCCCTTTGCACCATAAATTTCCCGTTGCGTTCGAGTTACTGGGGAGCTTAGGCAACGACGACGGCGACGTCAACGAGAACGGCAAAAAAAACCCTGCACGTGCATCACGTTTTTTGTTCCGAGTGAAGCGACCGACAGGGCTTAACTTGAGTGCCGCTTCCAAACCGAGTTTCGCGAGGGTTATTGCGAGATACGTATTTCCAGTACATTACTTTTTCGTCACTGCACGACTACAACGTGAAAAGGCCTAATTTCACGCTTTGTGGAAGACGTGAACACAAGATAACGACTTTCTTTTTCTTCTCCTGAACTTCGATAGAACCTGTTAGAATTCATCTCCAGATGAAACTGCCAACATTTGACGAATTGAACGAGATGGAATAAGCGCGAATAAGTTTGAAACAGCGCGACTTCACTTTTTAAGTGACGTTTGGTAGCCGTCGCAGTCGTTGTTGCTTAACCTCCCTAATGTATTTTGCCTCTCATTGTTTAGGCCCAAACGACTGAATTTTTGTGAAAATAAGTCTGTGCTTTATTCTGAAACTATTAAAAATCTGAAAATTTTTTTAAGCAATCCAAATGACTCCGTCACTGACCTGAAAATCGGGATCCGATGGGGAATCACAATCTCTACTTGGGGAATTGAAACTCTGAAAACAATTAAAATAATCTGTTACTGTAGAAGCTCGTCACGGAGACCACAACAACCAAGTTTCCAGCTGCCGCGTTTACCTTGCTTAGCAGACGGGCACTCCCCCTTTTGGACAAAAAAAGACAATAATCATTTTCTAGGGCGGTCGGGGTGGGACCGGAAATCAGGACCACCCAAATGAAAGTCAACACGGTTGAAACAGCTGTCACAGTTTTCACGACCCACACCAACTTAGTTCAATTCAATTCCCTAACCGAAAATTTTGTCCTAAGGGAGAAGTCGGTGTTAACATTGCGTTTGGAGGGGCAGGTAGGTGGACAGTAGACAGTACCCAGAATCTTAAACTGCAACAGTTTTATCAATTGGAAACATAGTGAGAACCTGCATACATAAACAGCGCCTTACTGAGTAAGTTATGTCCAACAGTTTATTACAATTAAGATCCTAAACCATAGTTAATTGAGTGGAATGGTTATGAAACCCGTCAGACTCCTTTGTTATATGTTTTTGTGAACCTGAAAGTGCACAACGTTCAAAAGAATTCCTATCATTTTGATTGTATTGACCAATAAAAACGTTGCATTAATTTATTCCGTAACAATTTGCCAACAGAAAACAAAGGATTGTGCACTTTCACGGTGCTTTGAACATAAACTGCCGCACTGTTGTTTTTATCATTGATGTTTGCCGCTTTTCATAACCAGTCTCCTCTAATAACTATGCCTAAACAGAGCAGAAGAATGTATGAAATACAGGAAATAAAAGCCACTGCACTTACATCATTCAAGATTTGCTGCACTTCCTTTTCGCTGTGATCCTTGGTAATTTTCCGAACATATATGGTACCATAGCGGTAGTTTTCCACGTGTTGCGCTCTAGCTTGTATCCGAGCTGTGGAACACTCTGGACAAACATCTGTCGCAACGTGTAAAAGCAAAATGGTTAATTTGACCATCGAGTCCAATACGTGTAGACCAAAACTAGAGATTGTGTGCAACGAGTTCCACTCCAAATTCCAATCCATGTATTTCTCTCAAAGGTTTCAAGACAAAACAAAACTGCCATGATCGCCAGCACTTGTGATACGTGCTCAACGTACAGAATAGAGCACTGGAGAAACGTTGTTATGAATCAGGACTGGCTCGCACCATTATGTCGACCATTCAAGGTGTTAAGTGAATGATTTAACTTTTGTACGCAAATACTGAGGAAAAAAATGCATGTTTTGACCACCAACATGGTGCTCTTGTCACGTGGTTGGAAACCAAGAATGCTTTGCGATTTATCAGCCAATCAGAGATTAACTATGCCTGACGTTAAATACGTGTATTTCGAAATATTATTGGTTTATTCGAAGGCCTGTGACAGTTGCGATTAGCTACAACTATCGTTTTAGTACGACGAAAGGTGATACTCAATCCCACAATTATTGCAGCCCACTGTTGCACGAAGTTTGATTGATTGGTTGATCGATTGATTGATTGATTGAAGAGACCCGCCTACGGTCCCTTGATGTACAATAATCTCAAATGGCAATCTTTACAATCGAAAATTGAAAATCACAAGTTATGACTCACCGGGGCAAGTAGCCAACTGTCTGACGCCGTCTTCCGTTACATTTTTTGTTACCGTTATCACGTGGTCGTATGCGTAGGTTTGGGTGAGTATGTTCCACTCATTCTGCCAGATGTAACAAAACCTGCCAGAAAGGAGTATTTCATTGGCCATTTGCACACCTTCAATAATACACCTTGTTTACCCATCTCCCCTTAAATTTCTCCTGGTATCCCCCGAGAAGTTGAAGACAGTGACTATGCAAAATTTTGGAGAAAGACAAGGTGTATTTTGTGAGATGTGCACGAAATGGTGAATTAAAGAATAAATCGGCAGCTGCACTTATCTACCAGTTCAAAGTGATTTTCAAATGCTCGTGACCTATCGCCAGATAAATCAGATGTCGTTAATCCAAGTCTAAATGAAGGTATGATCATCGCAGTTGTAATCGCAAATTCAACAATTGTCAATTAAGCCTAAAAAGGATCCAGGGCCTACAACTGCGACGGTCATATCTTCATTTAGATTAGTATTTTCCCAGTTCCCATTATCTTTATTCTATGTTTCATGCCTTTCACGAGTAAGACGAACTCTGCAAATTGGCTTGCTCTCCATACATGAGTTTCCATAGCTCAGATAGTAAGCCAGCTTCAAACACCTAATCACCCAGCTACAATACTTACATTCGAGTTTTGGTGAAGGTTTTTTTGACTAGGAATGAGCACGAGCGAACACTTGGGACACACCTTCACAATAGACCTCTTTAGCTTGTATGTTTTGTTTTCGTAATACAGGTCATGTGATAACACTCTAGAGAACTGTTTCTTTCAAATTTCGTCTTACTCACGTGCATATCTACGCATAACTTACAAAACGACAGATGGTCAAGTTCCCTTGGCACGTCTATTGGGAAAAGAGAACATAAAAGCTAAAGAGGTCTATTTGCAAAGGCGTTCTTCGGGAGGGGTAGATTACTCGAGGGATCATACGAGAAAAGAAGGACTAAAGCATGCCCTACAATAACCAACCTGGCTCCCACTCAAAAGAGAGGAGCCCTGGAAAAAGCAGTCGGTATAACAACTTACTCTTCGCTTGCGCCATTTTCCTCGTCTTCACACTCGGGATTAAACAGGAACTTTTCATGGCAGCAAAGAAGAGGAGCATTCTTGATACTTTCTGGTGGAGAGTTTCCTCTCGGGTACCTATCAAAAAAACAAAAGGGACAAATACATCGGAGATGAACCCAACGCTTAAAACAGTCGAACCTTGCCCTTGAGGCTAACCTCTACGTTGGTTACGAAGTGCACTAGTCAGACGCCCTGTCACTTTCAGGCCTTCTTACGTTAGAGCAAAGAAGGGCAGAGCTGTGTAAAAACATTTTTAACAAAATTGTAGAAAATCCCCTTGATGTTTTGCAATCTCTAATACCATTCAACGAGTGGCCCTTTAAGGACCTCAGGAACTTTACATCAGAACGTGTAAAGCCCTGCAAGACCAACAGGTGCCGTGATACCTTTATTAACAAATGCGCAGTTATTTTTTAACAATTCATAGTTAGTTTTCGTAGTTGCAGGATTCATATAGTTATTATGCAAGTATTTTTGTTATTATAATTCATACCTTTTTTCTATACATTGTAAGCCTTAGCAATTCAGTTGACACTGCTTGTAAGGTATTCAATAAACCATTTTACTTCTATGGCTAATTTACGGTTAGAGTACATTTGTCACTCTAGACACGAGACGAAAACTGCACCGAGTTAAAGGGACAGGTTCACGGTTCAGCGCATGCTCATTTATCAAAATCATGTTTTTCTGCCGGGACTTGCTGTATCGTCTTTGCAAACAATATGATCATGTCATAATGCTGTCAAAGAACCAATCTGCACACTCCCCTGGCAGTCACTTGATCAACTTTTGTGCAAATAGCTGTAAATTAATCAACCACGGAATAACACCTTCGGGTCAACAACAAATTCAACGTTGGTAATGTTGGCATAATCCACTAATTTTTTTCTGGGATTTTAGTATTCCTCAATCCTACTTCAGGTTACTCTGAAATACACTTCTCCTTTGAAATACACCAGATCGCTGAGATATATGTGAGTGCGATTATTAACCGATAGAATTGATGATAAATTGGAAAAAAGTAATTTAATTAATGAGCATGCGCTTATCCGTGAACCTGTCCCTTTAACCTTAGCAAAGACTTCTGGGACTGTAGCTAAGATCATGGACACGTGACAAGTCGGCCAACAGCTAAACGGCGAGTCCCTAGTAACCATACCAGAAATCATTGCAGGACGTATTTTGGCTCCCATTACCTTCTCGTTTCTTAAGTGGCGAGTTGACCGCTGTAGGGGTAGCCTGCGTCGCAGACGTAATTTAACCTCGGTTAGTAACGTCTGCGAAGCAGCGCCGATATCCCTGTTCTGCGCCCCCAGCAAACTCAATGAATTACCGGAAATGTATTTCGTATTTTCCTTCAACCTGACTGTCAATTCGACAACGGCATTTTTGACAAGGCAATAATAATAAAAATAATAATAAAATTTATAGAGGGAGCCCAACTCGACAAGGCGGTTTTCAGTGGGACCCTTATGCATTAATTTAACTAATTAATTAATTATTACGAAAAAAGTAAAATATGTTTAGAAGTAAAAAAAATTTAAAAATTTAAAATCTTAGAATCGAGTATTAAAAAAATATCAAGGTTTAAAATTAGCTGAGATCTTTTAAAAAAGTTTTAAACTTGGATTTAAAAATAGACAAAAAATTACACTCTTTTAAATCATTTGGAAGGCTGTTCCAGTCTTTCGCAGCGTGAAAAATGAAAGTTTGTTTACCCCAGTTTGTTCTGGGTAGGGGTAAGCGAATATCATTAGAGCGTCTTGTATTATATGAATGAACAGCTTTATTTTTAGTAAAATTAAAGTTGAAATCGGTTTCTCCAATAAGACACTTGTGGGTTGCAATGCAGCGATGAATAGCAAATAACCCATTAAAGGTCCAATATCAAAAAACAAATTCTCCAAACTGATCTCCATACAATTCCTAAAAAATCAGTTGAGAGACCTTGTACAAAGGTAAAAGAATTCTCCCTTTAGTGATCATTTCATGATTTCTCAAAACCTTTCCTCTTGATTATGTATTGATTTTGTTAGGAGAATATTAACGGTGGTCACTATTGGGGTTTAAAGGGATAAGAACGCGTAATTGGCATTATTAAAGGTGATGTTACACCACACGCTTCGCAACGACGATTTTTAGCGCAACACAGGTTTGCAACATTGTTGCGACATTGTTTCGAATGGCAACAACGTTGTTCCAACATTGCAACGCTGTGTTGCGCTAAAAATCGTCGTTGCGAATCGTCTCGTGTAACATCACCTTAACAAAATGAAGTAGACAGCCATGAAACAGCCCAGTCAAGTAGAGAGGAAACTGTATCAGGTCCCTAAATTCTGCTGGTACGGATGAATCAATTGCATCGAACTGACTGCACACGGTTTTCTGTGATTATCCACAAAATATGGGAGAAGACGCATTACCTTACAAACTGTCTCCATTGATCTAAAAAGTCTTTTGAAACAGCACGAGCAACGACCGGGTCCTGAAAGCAAAAAAAAAGAAAACGCTAGAAAAGTTTTGACAGAGCACTAAAGGAAAACGCCTTAGAGAACTCTAAAGAAGCATAAACATTAAAGTGGTTTTAGTTAGTGATATATTACAAAAATAAATAAGAAAACTGTTCTTTTTTAGTGTTTTTTTGTTGTTGTTTAAGTTAAAGGACAGACTCGGACTGATATCGCTTTAAGTCGTTCCCCAAAATACATTTTCCACTTAGCTCGGCGTGAGTTTAGTGGGTCTGAAATGAGGACGGAATAAAGTGCCCCTGGGAGTTTATAAAAATGAAGAAATAGGATATTAAACTTTTCAAACTTTTAGAATGAATCTTCTTTTATTACTCACATCATTATCCATGGACGGCCGTTGTCTTTCAGAATAAAGCTGTGTTAACGCAGATCTCTGTTCTGATGCTAGTAATCTGTGAACTTCGGTTTTCTGTCGTTCCTCTTCATCTTCCGCCTAAACATGGAAAAAGGTTCCAAATAACCTGTCATCTACCAGGTTTTTATTCTTCTCTTACCTTTACTGGTCAGGTGAGTATGTTTACGTCGGACGAGCAAATTTCACCACCAAGCCTTGCTTGGAAATGGTAAAGTTGCGAAGTTTTGTATACAGCTATTTCGAGAAAGGTTGTCGGAAAAAGTGCACGCGACAATCCCGAAAGGTATTATGGGTGGTTTTGGGTTCTCTGTTCTTCGCAGAAATTTGAAACAATGGCACGAGAGGCCATGGACATATGTTTGCTAGTGCTAAAGGAAAGCAGCAAAAGTAAGTTCGACAGCTACAGTGTCAGGAACAGTGTATTGATCATATCGCCATATTAGGTACCTTTTGGGATTGTCGCGTGCACGCTTTTTCCGACCTTTCTCGAAATAGCTGTAAATGAATTCCCAAGGCAACAGAGTTGAAAAGAATACCCACGCACAAAGAGTGCAAATGCGAAGAATTTTGCGTACAAGCGAGGCTTAATTGGTGGTGAAATTTGCTCGTCTAACGTATCATGGTTAAAAACCATTTGAACTCATTTTCAAACTTGAACTCGTGAAATTCTCCCCGTTATAGAGTGTATTTCAAGGGTTTATGCATGCCCAATAGCACCTTAACTGACATTACACCGGTCATTCCTAAGCAGCCGTCGTTTGGCATCACGCAACCCGCATACGTGGTGTGGTTATCAATCAAAAGGAAGGCTCAAAAGAATCAGGTCTTACCTGACATAATCTGCATACTGAGTGAACACTCGTAAACTCGCAAGCAGCGGGAAAGTAATATTTTAACCTCTGCCAGACAGCATCTGAAACAAGCCGCCGACATGATTCTTCCGAAGATAAGTCTTCTACAAAACATAAATAAAAAACGACAACGCGGTAAGAAAAAGTTTGTCAGAGTTTTCTCTTCTTTGTTTGGTTGGTTTTGCTTGTTTGCTATTTGTCTTGTTGTTGGTTTTGATTTTTTTTCCTGAACAAATTAGTACACAACGATAAAATATTGAAACCGTCCGCAAAGCACTGCACAACCAGATAAAACCGACCGAAACTCGCCTCCATCCAAGTTTTTCAGCACATGACCTCGTGACATTTAGTAAATTTGAGATTTCACTGGTCCACAACAATGACTGTGCTGTAAAAGGCTTTAGTGACAACTTTGGGTTTTAATGTAGTAGAACCCCGATAATGTGACCTCCGTTGAATGGTAAAAACCGACTTGGGCGTATAAACAGGGTGGTCGTAAAGCGGGGTTCCACGATAAAACTCCGGTTTTACGGAAAAAATATCTGGAAGGAAGCACAAGTACAAGGAGAGATATTCGGCCCTTTATTGTGCTTGCAATTGTGCTTGCGATAACT